TTGTTAGCTGCCATGTGGGTGCTGGGATTCGAACCCAGGTCTTCTGCAAGAACAGACAGTGTTCTAAACTGCTGAGCCATCTCTCTAGCCTCAGAAAGAATTCTTAATATTTTATGTGCACTAAGGTATGTAAGACATAAATGATAATAAACAAAACTCTTAAATCATCAGGCCATGGTTCTGAAATCAGAAAGGTAAAAATATGCCAGGTGTGATGGTGCTTACCCATACTCCTAGCACTTAAGATGCAGGAGGGCTGCAAGTTTGAGGCCAGCCTGGGCTACAGGAGACCCAGTCTCAAAAACATGAAAGGGGAGGGTGGGAAGGAAAGGAGGGAGGGAGGAGAGAGATGCAGGTGGCAGAGAGTTCAGTAAAGAAAGACATCCCAGAGCACTGTCTAGTGACAAGGGCCCGTAATCCCAGGTCCTTCGGAGACTGAGGCTAGATCAAAAGTTCAAGGTTTGCCTGGGCTACACAGTAAATTCAAGGCTAACCTGAATAACTTAGTGAGACTCTGTCTGAAATAAGGGATTGGGATATAGCTCAGTGGTAGAGTGCTTACATAGCCTGTGTGTGAGGCCATAAGTTCAGTGGGCCTGCCCTCCCCCCGCCCCGCTCTCTTTCTATACACACACACACACACACACACACACACACACACACAGTACAGTCAGCTAGGGCAGAGTTTGCATAAAACAAATGGGTAAAGCTGTATGACAAAGGTCCAAATTGACCAGTTCATGCTTTTATTAGGTAAGCTGTGTTTGCTGTCAGACATGGGAACAACTGAAGGATTCTGTGTTAATCTGATCCACAAAGCACCATTCATTCAGAACCAGTCCTGAGGCTCCATCGCCCAGAGCAATGGCAGAGCCTCTGCTTGTTCTCCCACTCCCAGTGTCATACCTTAGAGGCAATGATAAACAGGGAGGACTCGGGGTTCAGGCAGGCCAATGTTTTAGCAATGTGGGTCCCATCAATGTTAGAGACAAACCAGACTCGAGGACCTCCTGCAGAGTACGGCTTGAGGGCTTCAGTCACCATGAGGGGTCCCTGCAGGAAGACAGGGCATTAGGGAGCAAGATTCTAGGACATGGTCCCTGGATGGGACCAACCATTCCCATTGCTCATCCCATCCCAGGCTGAGCGTTCCTTACCAGGTCAGAGCCTCCAATGCCGATGTTGATGATGTCCGTGATGGATTTGCCCGTGTAACCCTTCCATTCACCACTCCTAACACGCTGGCACAGAACAGAAAGACACAATTTACCTAAATGCTCATGGATAGGACACAGCTCAAAAACATCATTACCTCTGTGTCATTTTGCTTCAGGCCATCCCAGAAGCCTGTCTTAAGACCATGGTTACTAAATCCCCATCACATTCTATAATACGCATTTTACTGATAGGTGGTAATGTGCTGTTGGAATTCATTATGTAGCCCAGGCAGCCTTGAAATGGCAATCCTGCTGCCTCAGTCTCCTGAATGTTGGTATTACAGGCTATTATATCATGCCAATCAATCTCCAAATGATTCTTGTCTCCTGGTAGTCACATCTCTGTATAGTTCCTCCTATACTGAGTAGGCCTGGCCTGTGTAACCACAAGGACACGATCCTAATAAAAACCTCAATAAACTAGACATAGTGGCTTATGCCAGTAATCCTAAAATATTGAACAGTCCTTGATGGGGCTGCTGCTCTGGATTTAAATAAAGGCAAAACTACTACTTAAAATTGGAGAGGCCATGGTTACATGCCTGTCATCCCACAGTCAAGCTGGCAGAGAATGGAATATCAGGAGTTCAAGACCAGTTTGGGATACATGAGATTCCACCTCTGAAAAGGGGAGAGGGAGAGGAGCAACAGGGAGACAGAAAGCTGAAAAGATTGCTTAATGGTTAAGAGCATGTATTTCAGCGGCAGTGGTGGGACAGACACAGGCAGACACAGGCAGATCTCTCCGAGTTCAAGGCCAGCCTGGTCTATATAGTGAATCCAGGACAGCTAGGGCTACAGGGAGACCCTGTCTCAAAAAGACCAACCCCCCCCCCCAAAAAAAAATACGTAAACCAAAATTCTTAAAAATATTTAAAGAAAATTAACTCATTTTGAAATCTCTATGTACAGCTTTTGCCTAAGAGACCAAAGCACCCCCTGCCCCCAAATCTTATTGAATCTCTTGAGACTCATTAAGCGTTTCTAAGAATGATATTGTGACTGAAGAGATGGCTCATGGTTAAGAATACCTCTTGGTTTACTGCACCTACATGGGGGCTAACCAACCGTCTGTAACTCAAGTTCCAGGAGATTGAATGCCCTCTTCTGGCCTCAACAGGCACTGAAAGCATTTGGTACACTTACCTACATGCAGGCAAAATACACATATAAAAATAAAATAAAGCCCGGGCATGGTAGCCCACACCTTTAATCCTAGCACTTGGGAGGCAGAGGCAGGCAGATCTCTGCGAGTTCAAGGCCACCTTGGTCTACATAGCGAGTTCCAGGCCAGCTGGGTTTACAGGGAGATCCTGTCTCAAAAAATTTTTTTAAATAAATAAATAAAATAAAATACTTGAGGAAAAAAAATGAATGAAATTGTCAGAAACAGTATCAACTTGACCTGAATGGAGCTAAGTGAGGCAGAGACACTACAAATGGAAGAGGCTTTACACACCCGTCTTTCTATAGGCAGTAAAGAGGCTGAGAAAACCACGCCTGGTTACCACACAGGTTACCTTCTACCCAATAGAAATGAGTGACAAGAATAAGAGCCTTGAAGAATCATTCCCACACTTGAAAACTCATTAATCCACTATCAACACACATTCTACAATATTTCAGAACTGCATGGACTACACCATGCCATGGCAGTCCATGCCTATAATCCTGGCACTCAAGACCACAGGTATGTGGCACCATGCCGGGTTTGAGTAGAGGTTTTCTTTTTTTTTTTTCCCTTTTTTGTCTTTTTGAAGCAGGGTCTCCCATAGCCCCAGCTGTCCTGGAACTCACTATGTAGACCAGGCTGGCCTTGAACTCACAAGAGATCCACCTGCCTCTGCCTCCCAAGTGCTGGGACTACAGGCATGTGCCACCATGCCCAGTGGAGTCAAGGTATTTGATGCATACAAGTGATAGGAATCACAGGGAACCAGAAGCAGATGACAATACCAACTTCCAAGACGGTTACTAGTGACCACTGCCTTCTGGCACTCACTGCTATATAGGCCCTCCCATGACAACCAGAGCTGATCTGTACAACAGGGTATTAGAGGATGAAATGATGTGGGGCTTTTGTTTGTTGTTTGTTTTTGAAGCAAGGTCTCCCTGTAGTCCCAGCTGGCCTGGAACTCACTAGTAAACCAGGCTGGCCTCAATCTCACACCTGCCTCTGTCTCCTGAGTACTGGGACTAAAAGCCGATGCTGCCTTATTTTTATTTTATGAGAGTTTTGCATGCATGCATGTAAGTACAGGTACAGTGTACAGTGCCTACAGAGGCCAGAAGAGCAGAAGAGGGTATCTGATCACCTGGAACTGGGGTCAGAGGGTTGTGAGCCACCATGTGGGTGCTGGGAACTGAACCTGAATCTTCTGCAAGAGTAGCAAATGCTTTTAACTGCTAAGTCATCTATTCAGCCCCAAGGATATATTTTTTAATATTTTACTTATTTTTATTTTATGTGCATGAGTATTTTGGCTTCCTGCATGTAAGTGCACCACATGCACGTAATGCCCTACAGAAGCTACAAGACAGTGTGGATCCCCTGGAATTGGAGTTTCGATGCCTGCTAGCTGCGATACGGGTGCTGGGAATCGAACCCAGGGCTCCTCTGGAAGAATAGCAAATGTTCTTAAAACACTGAGCCATCTCTCCAGCCCCAAGGACATGGTTTTTGATACAGGTCACTCTCCCTTTCTATCAGATCATTCATTGGATCAGCTTCCCAAAAGCCCAAATTAACCAGATGTGGTGGCACACACTTGTCATTCCAGTACAGAGGAGGCTACGACAGAAGGACACAGATTCCACACCAGCCGGGGCGACACTGTGAAAGCCCAGTTCAAATTAAGTAAATAAATATTGGGAAGTGGAGGCAGGAGGACCAGTTTAAGGTTTATGCGGCGAGTTCCAGGCCAGCTAGGACTACAGGAGACCCTGTCTCAAAACAACAAATTGTCCAAACTGCCAGTGACCCTTCTTTGGATGTGGTGGCACACACCTTTAATCCCAACACTCGAGAGGCAGAGGCAGGCAAATCTCTCTGAGTTTGAGGCCAGCCTGGTCTCCATAGCGAATCCAGGCCAGCTAGGGCTACAGGGAGACACTGTCTCAAAAGGACAAAAAAAAAAAAAAAAAAAAAAAAAAAAAAAAAAAACCCTCTAGCACCATTAACTGCATCCTTACATGCTGTCTACAAGACCCCATGGCATAGGCACTTACAAGTTCCTGACCCAAAGAAAGGCTAATAGCTGTTTCCAGCTGCTGAGTTTTGCAGTAAGATCACTCATGTAGAGAGAAAACCAGCACACACAAAGATCCAGCAAGAGCAGCTTTTATTTTTCTCTTTTTCTTTTTGGTTTTTGTGGAGACAGGGTCTCCATGTAGCACCAGCTGGCCTGGAACTTTCTATGTAGACCAGGGTGGCCTCGATCTCAGAGATCTGCCTGACTCTGCCTCCTGAGTACCTTTCTTCTATTCATATGTGTAGTGGTGTGCCAACACTGTCAAAGGACAGCGTTGGGTGTTGTTCCTCACATTCTACTTTGTTTGAGGCAGTGTTGGTGGGGGGGGGAGCAGCCACAGGAAGTGGAATTACTCACTGTGAACTGCTGCTGTTTAGCAATGTGTTTAGTTTGTTGATTGGTTGGGGTGTTTTATTTTAAGACAGGGTCTCCCTACATAGCCCAAGTTGGGCTAGGATTTGAAATCATCCTACTGCAGCCTCATTAAGTACTCAGGATTACAGGTGTGATCCACTATGACAGCTGCATATTTTGAACTAAAAATACCTCATCAGTCTGAGCCAGCCAATCTAACAGCCAGCTTCAAGGGAGGGCTATCCTACAACCACATCAGAGACAGCCAGTGCCACACTGTCTACCTAGCATGCCCTCTCCACATAGGATAATCACAGCATCAGGTTCCCAAGGCACATCAGTTCCACCAACTAACAGCACATGGCTGGGAAAACCTGTCATATCCAAAATCACAAAGACATTCTAGAATCCAGATTCCTATCGGGATCCCCAGCCTCCCCCTGTCTAGAAGTCCCCATATCAGGTGGTTCCAGGCCTTTAGGATAAAGGTATCATTTTCAAGTCTGAAAATGGCTCTTGGCCAAAGTAACTAGACTTTGCCCAGCCACATGTGAGAGTCACTGCCTTCAGACACCAGCTGTGAATGATCACAGCTGAGTAGGTGATCATTCTCAGAGCACGCATACACCCACAGGGTCCAGGCATCACCCTTGCACTACAGGCTTGACAGTGTCTGCCATCTTTGTAGATACCCCAGGGATACACACTAATGTCACAGGAGTCGATACAGGTAAATTTTGGTAGTCTCTGAAGCAACCCATACTGCCCCCACCATTACCACAGAAAGACAAGGTTGGTCATGCATGTGGTGCATACTTTTAATTACAGTACTCAAGAGGCAGAGACAGGAAGATCTCTGTGAGTTTAAGGCCAGACAGGGGTACATAGTAAGATCCTATCCCCCCGCCCAAAAAAAGAAAAAAAAGTAGCTGTAAAGATGGGTCAAAGCAGTTGTACTGATCTTGCAGAGGACCTCAAATTCAGTTCCAAGCACCCACATTGCAGTTCACAACAAACTGTGACTCTAGCTCCAGTGGACCCAATGCCTCTAGGCGTGTTGGTGCATGGCTTTAATCCCAGCACTTGGGAGGTAGAGGTAGGTGGATCTCTGTGAGTTCCAGGCCAGCCTGGTCTACATAGTGAGTTCCAGGACAGCTGGGGATACAGGGAGACCCTGTCTCAGAAAGACAATAAATAAATAAATATTTGGAAAGAAAAAAGGAGAATGTGTGATTACACATGTTGCCACCAACCCAGGGACCTGTTTTATGTATTTCTTTGTGTGATTAAGCTGCAGGAAGGGAAGTGGGGATGTAGCTCAGGTGGTGGAGTACTTTCCTAGCATGTAAAGCCTATCGCCAGCATCACATAAACAGGCTGTGGTAATACACATCTGGAATCCCAGTACTCAGAAAGTGGAGGAAAAAGACCAGAAGGTCTGCCACCAGTAGGTCCCCTGAGAAGGGCCAGGGGAAATTCAGGCCTCAGAAGAGACTCCAGGGTCAGCAATCACACAGCAGGTCCCCCCTACTTGAGGCCACAGAAAGGGCCCAGGTCCTGCCTCTAAGGAGAGTAGCAGAGCTAGCAATAAACCTCCCTAAGTACACATACACCTGGTCAAAGGCAAGTTGAGGCCAGCGCCTGCTTACCTGACAGAAAGATTTCATCTTTTCCAGAACCCTGTTGACCTCTGGCATCACATCCTTACCATCCACCACAATTGGTGCATTTGACCGGTTCCGAAGGGCCACATGCAGTACTGCCCGATCCTGGAGAAGAGAGTCAAAGAATGAGGAAGGCACACATACTGGAGAGCAGCAAAGCTCTCATTTGAGGCTGGTGCAGTGTGACCTGGGTCAGCTCATTAACACTATATTCTTGTACAGAGAACACTGCATGCTTTGGGAGTGGAAGCTAATATAGGACTCTGTGGAGAGCATAGCCTACGGCACCACCCTGTGTACTATGGGACCCGAGCATGCCTCAAAACAGTCCTAGAGGGCCTGAAAAGCTGGAAGAAGGAAGAACAGTGCAGAAAGGCACACTGGTGACAACATCAGTCAGAGATAGGCAATAAAAGCCTTCAGTGGAGCAGCGCTCTAAGCCTAACCCTCACATCCTCTCAGTGGAGTACTCAGTGTCTGTTGTCACCTTCTGAAAATGTCCTCAGGCCCGTGGATGTGCATCAAGGCCAGCAACCAAAGTTTCCCTCATACCAAGCTGCTCACCTGCTCACAAGAGCAAAACGGCCCACTCAGCTGAAGCCAGCAACAGTCTTGGAGGGAAACAGGCACAAAGTCTCCAGGTGGGCAGGATAGGGATTCTACCCCAGAAGAGGCTCCATGTGATGGAGGGCTGGATGTCAGTTACCCTATCCAGCCCGCACTCCTTCTAAGTTCCTTAGGTAAATGCAGCACTCCTGCAGAAAGTCCTCCTCGATTGCAGCCTCCCTCACATAAGCCAGACAGTACAAGATCCCGTGCATTTGAATCCCAGTTCTGAACCTTTCAGTATGTGACCTCCAAGCCCTGACATGTAAAAAGACACTGACCCAAGGAAAGAGAATGAGTGCTGAGTGTTAGTATGCCTGCAGGTTTCCCTAAGTCAGGGACAGGACCCTCAGGCCTGCCTTACCCATGCCAAAGAGGCTAAAGGGTTTGGTGACATGATTCCTCTTGTCACTAGTAAAACTTGCCAGCAAGGAAACATCAGAGTTCAGTTCTCTGAGGAACTGTCTGAGCAACCCTTGAGCAAACCTCTCCCTTCAGGCTTGAGATGTGGCTCCTCCCTGGGCAGACACTGGGAGCCATTCCATTTTGCTCACCAAACCCAGGCTGCCAGTTCTGAAGAAGACACACCCAAAGCCTTGCAACCAGCCCCCAAAGAAAAGTCTACAGGAACTTTGTGAGGCAAAAGCATTGCTTAAAAAGGAGGGGTGAAGACACAGGAAGATGCTAACAGTCAGATGAACCTGAAAGGGAAGGAAGAGGCCCCAGGGGACATGCTGAACCTGATAACTAGAATTGCTCACCTCAGTGTAGTTGATCTTTTCACCACTGAACATACTATCCCGGGCGGCCTCCACGCCCCTGGATTTGGCCTAGGAAGAGAAGACACTAAGACCTAGCCCACCCCCCCACCCCCACTGGTCATCACCAGTCCAAACCTCCAGGGAGGCTGACAAATGGTCCTCCTGTCTTTCTCGCCCACTGTCTGGGAAGGGTCTGATCAAATATTACACCAGTGCTGCAAGCCCCTGGGATACCACTCCCAACCTGAACCAAGAGCAGCAGGAAGACAGCTACTGAGTTTTCATTTGTTCAGGAACCAAGAGCCCAACTGCCCCCGGAACCCAAGGGTCACAAGTCAAGGCTCCCCAATGAGAACATTACCAGGTCCACCAGCATCTGCATCACCTCCTTAGTCACAAGGTTCTTAGAGTAATCGAGCAGAATATGTCCATGGTTGGTGTTGAGATTTAAGCTGCAAGAAGATGCAGAAGCTGATGGCCACAGCCCAGGCCTCCCCAGGCCAGCTTCTTATAAAAGAACATCTTCCCTCTGCCACACCCCAGTGGCAGCGCCTGTTGCCTGGCCACCTAAGCTGACCTGTAGCTGTACAGTAGAGGAAGCCATGCCACAGAATCCAGATGGAGACAGATCCTGGGCAAGGAGCACCGCCTGGGTAGATGAGGGGGTACCTGCACTGCAGAAGCATGCCAGGAGTCAGCACCCTACCGAGTTTCCCCTCGGGGTCTCAAGTTGCTAGAGGCCCCCATACAGAGGTATCAAGCAGTGAGAAGCCACAGGTGGTGATCCCGTTGTCCTAGTCCCCCAGCATCAGTGACCAGGCATTCTGGAGATGCATCCTATCCAAGATTTCCTCCCACACTGCTTCCCATTTCCCAGTCGTTCGCAAGGTCCTCTAGCCTTAGCGTCTTCGATAGCATCGTGCCTCGACAGCTCTGATTTTACACCGTGATTCCCCTCAAATCCTGGCCTAACCACCCTACCGAACCTCGCAGAGGGTACTAAGCCCACTGTGGGTCAGGAGTAGGTGGAAAGGGGACAGCTCACTCCGGCCTGCAGCGTCAGCGAAGGCTCTAGACCCGGCCCTTCTCAAATGGCTGGGACTAGGGGGCGGGGGCGAAGGGGGGGAGGTCCCCCAGAAGGGAGAGCCGCGGCTCCTCGTGACTAAGCAGCCCCCGCCCCAAGCCTCCCCCGAGCACACCGGCCCCAGGAGCCCGAGCCAAGGAGACGTCAAGGACAAAGTGCGGCCCCAGCCTGGACCCCGCAGGAATCCCGGGAACCCCTCGGCCTGGCCCGGCGCGCACCTGAAGTGGTTGAAGCGCTCCGGATCCTTCTCGAAAAGCTGGCGCAGCTTGAGTTCGGCGCTGTTCTGGAGATACCACTGCTGCAGCTTCTGGAACTGCGGGTTCCGGGAGAGCGCGGCCATGGCGGGACTGGAGAGGTACACGGAGCTGGACGTGCGCGGAAGAGGAAGGAAAGAAGGAAAGAAGGCGGGGCGGCGGCGTGCAGCGAGCTCCGCACACCACCGCGCAGCGGTCTTTATGGCGCAGGCGTCCGCCCACGCCCCGGCCTCCGGGACCACGCCCCCGCCTCCCAGGCCCCGCCCCTGCCTTCTTCGCCCGCTGCACGACCTTGCCAGCAGCTGCGGATGGATCTGGGGCTTCCACCAACCTTTCCAGACCACAGAGTGGCTAGTTGCAATGCCCGTTGGCTGACCCTTGCCGGAAGTGACTGAGGGGCAGAAGCGGGGCTCCCCGCGGTCTGCTTGTTTCATCCATCCACTCATTCACTCAACAAAATTCTATGGAATGTCTCCGTTATAGGGAATACTGCAGGTTTTGTGGGTTATATACACAAAATAAGTCAACAAGATGTATGGGATTTCAGAGCCGGCAAGTGCCACTAAGAAAAGGTAAACTGGGCTGGGCTGAGATGGCTCAGTGGTTAAAATCGCATACTGTTTTTGCACAGGACCTGAGTTCAGCCCACCACCCATGAAAATTGCCTGTAACAGGCTCCAGGGAAAGCCTGTGGGCCTCTGAGAGCACTTGCACTCACAAGGACATACAGACACACACACACACATACATTTAAAAATAAAATAATAAATCTTTTTAAAAGGGCAAGCTGAAAATAAGGGTACTGGGAATAAGGGTTTCAAATTTTTTTTTTTTCTTTTTTTTTGGTCTTTTTTGAGACAGGGTCTTTCCCTGTAGCCCTAACTGGTGGCCTGGAACTCATTTATGTAAACTAGACTGGCCTTGATCTCACAGATATCTGCCTGCCTCCACCTCCCAAGTGCTGATATTAAAGGTGTGTGCTACCACACCAGGCCAAGGGTTGCAGTTTTTAAAAAGATTTATTTTTATGTGTATGAGTGTTTTACTTGCATGTAAGTGTACCACATTCCTGTCTGGTGCCTGCAGAGGGCAGAAGAGGGCAGGATGCCCTGGAATTGGAATTAAGGATAGGTATTAACCACCATTTGGGTGTTGGGAACCTGGATTCTCAGGAAGAGAACTGCACTTAACTGCTGGACCATCTCTTCAGTTCCCAGGATTAGAATTTTAAATAGACGGTTAAAAAATAAAAAGACCTCACCATTATGATACTTGAGAACAAAAAGCCTGTAGGGGAAGAAGTAAGCCAGTTGCCTGCCTGGGAGGAAAGTATTCTGGCAAAGGGAAAATACAAAATTCTTGATACAAGTGATAGAATGTGTGTGAATTGCAGAAGAGCCATAAGCCTCATTAGGGAAAGCCATGAATCCCTTAAAGTGTCTACCTGGCCCTAAATTGGCAGTCTGGCCTTGCTCAAGCCTTATCAACTGGTCACTCCCTGGACTGAGAGAGAGACTGTTTATGGAGCCCATCTATCTCCTTTAGTGTTATAGATAACTCACCCACCTGTCTGAGAAAAGAGACCCTCAAGGACACCAAACCTGGGCACTAATTCAACTCCCCACAAAGTGCAGCTGTGTCTCACAACTTTTGTATAACACCCCCCTCCGCCCCGCTTCTTTGTTTAGAACCTTGGTTCCCACAGACAGCCTCTACCTCTCCTGTATCTTCTTTGAATAAAGGAAGATCTATTCCTTGCCTGTTGCAGGTCTGGCTCTGGTTTCTTGTCTCCTACTCCTTTCCTTTTATTCTCCAAAAATCTAGCAACAAGAGTACCCGAAGATGTCTCAGAAACAGGAGGCAAGTGCTGCTGGAGTAGAAGGGATGAAGGGAAAATGATAGATCAGGTTGTTTTTTGTTTTGAGAGAGATGAGAAGCCACCAAAAGACTCTAAGCAGGAGGGACATCATCGGACACATATAGAGGATCAGTTAAAGGGCACAGCAGGGACTGGAGAGATGGTTCAGCGGTTAAGAGCACTGGCTCCTCCTGAAGACCCAAGTTCTAATCCCAGCACCCACATGGCAGCTAACAACCATCTGTAACTCCAGTTCCAGGGGATCCAACACCCTCTTCCATCCTCCGTAGGCATTGTATGACATGGTTGCACTTATATACATGCAGGCAATACACTCATATGCATAAAAGTGAAAAAAAATAGGGGCTGGAGAGATGGTTCAGCGGTTAAGAGCACTGGCTTCTCCTGAAGACCCAAGTTCTAATCCCAGCACCCACATGGCAGCTAACAACCATCTGTAACTCCAGTTCCAGGGGATCCAACACCCTCTTCCATCCTCCGTAGGCATTGTATGACATGGTTGCACTTATATACATGCAGGCAATACACTCATATGCATAAAAGTGAAAAAAAATAGGGGCTGGAGAGATGGCTCAGTGGTTAAGAACACTGGCTGTTCTTGCAGAAGACCCGGGTTTGAATGCCAGCACCCATAAGGCAGCTAGCAACTGTCCATAACTCCAGTTTCAGGGGATCCAACAGTCTCTTCTGTCCTCTTCTGGCATTGCACTTACCTACAGGCAGGCATAACACACATTTAAAAAAAAAAGTTAAAAAAATAATAAAAAATTTAGGCTGGTGTGGTGGCGCATGCCTTTGATCCCAGCACTCAGGAGGCAGAGGCAGGTGGATCTCTGGGAGTCTCCATAGCGAATCCAGGCCAGCTGGAGCTACAGGGAGACCCTGTCTCAAAAAGACCAAAAAAAAAATTTAAAATTAAATTTTAAAAAGTTGAAATACCACACACACATGAACACACATGTACACATGAACACGTGCACACATGAACACACACACACACAAAAGGGCAGAACAGGTCAGGGCAATACAACAGGCCAGAAGAGGCGGCAGCAATCAAGGAAAGAGATGGACGTGGTAGTATGGACCAGTGGAGTTCACAGTGGAGAAAGGTCAGGATGACATCTAGTTTGAGATTCAGGTTCCTGGGAAAAAAAGAAAATTCTCCTTCACAGTTCCAATGAGGAGCCAGGAAGACTCCCATGAGGAAGAGTGCAAGTCTGGGGCGGAAGACCATGTATCATTCTTCAGATGTGCTACTTTTTCAAAACGTGCTAGACATCTAGTACTGGGTAGGACAATCCCAGAACATGGGAAGTAAAGGCAAGTAGATCAGGAATTTACGGCCTGTATCAGCCTTGAATTTGAAACCATCCCGTCTCAAAAACTAAAAGCATGTGCTGGGGAGATAGCTTAGTAAAGTTTTCCTTGCAAGCATGAGGGCACAAATTCTGCCCCCAGATCTGATCTAGAAACCTGGACATAAGCCAGGCGTGGTGACACAAGCCTTTAATTCCAGCACTTGGGAGGCAGAGGCAGGCGGATCTCTGAGCTCAAAGCCAGCCTGTTCTATATAGAGTTCCAGACTAGCTGGGGCTATAGGGAGACCCTGTCTCAAAAAACTGAAAACAAAAACAAAAACAAAAAAACCTGGACATAGTTGTGTGCTTATAATCCCAGTGTTGGGGAAGCCGAGACAAGGGGATCCTAGGGCTTGCTGGCCAATTAGACTAGCCCAGTTGGGGAGTCCCAGGTCCTTCCAAGAGACCCTCAAAAACCAACCTGAAAAAATTAATGAAATATATTTATTTTAAAACTTAAAAAAAATTATTTTCATTTTATGTGTATGCATGTATTGCCTGCATGTAGGTAAGTGCACCCGGGTTGTGCAATGACGAAGGTCAGAAGAGGCTGTCAGATCCCCTGGGACTGGAGTTACGGACAGTTGTTAGCTGCCATGTGGGTGCTGGGATTCAAACTCAGGTCTTCTGCAAGAACCACCACTGTTCTTAACTGCTGAGCTATCTCTCCAGCCCCAAAATATATTTATTTTAAAAAGGGCCAGCAAGATGGCCCAGTGGATAAAGGCACTTACTTGCTACCAAGCCTGACAACTTGAATTCAATCCCTGGGATACATATGGTAGAAGGAGAACCAGCCAACTCCCACAAGTTGTTCTCCTACCTCCACAGGCTGGCTGTAGCACGCCTCCTACCTGATAAATGTAGTTGAAAAACAAAAGAGGCTGGAGAGATGCTAGAGCAGTTAAGATCACTCACTGCTCTTCCAGAGGACCCAGGTTTGGTTCCCAGCACCCACACATCATCAGGGTGGCTCACAAATGCTGGAACTCCAGCTCCAAAGCGATCCATCTGGCATCGAAGGGCTCCTGCACTCACTTACACATACCCTTATTCACATAAATAAATAACAAAAATAAATTTTTAGGCTGGTGTGGTGGTGCAGGCCTTTAGTCCCAGCAGTTGGGAAGCAGAGGCAGGTGAATCTCTGTGAGTTCAAGGCCAGTCTGGTCTACATAGTGAGTTACAGGCCAGCCGAGGCTACAGGGGGACCATGTCTCAAAAAGACTAAAATAAATAAAATTTTTACGAAAAAAAAAAGATAGGGCTGTGTGTAGTGACACATACCTTTAATCCCAGCACTCAGGAGGCAGAGGCAGGCAGATCCCTGTGAGAGCCAGGTCAGCTTGTCTGCATAGGAAGTTTCAGGCCAGCTGTCCTAAGGAACAATACTGAAGATACTCCTTTTTAAAAAATTATTATCATTTTTTATTTTATGTGTATGAGTGTATTGCCTGCATGTATATGAGTGCACCAGTGTCATGCAATGCCACGGAGATCAGAAGAGAGTTTCCAATTCCCCTGGAACTGGAGTTAAGGACGGTTTGTAGCTGCCATGTGGGTGCTGGGAATCGAACCTGGGTCCTCTGCAAGAGCAGTCAGTACTCTTAACTGCTGAGCCGTCTCTCCAGCCCCCGAAGATACTCTTTTGGACTCCACATGCACACGTATACACACACGCAGATACCCAGCAAGATCAGGAATCATTCACACCCTGAACCTGTACTACCTCCATAGGCTGGCTGTGGCACACACCCTCAAGTCAAGATTCCTCAGATGACTCTAGCCCAGCAGTGGCCACTGACTCCCTTTTTGTAGGAGGTACTTTTTGGTGACTGAGGTGGGCATCCTGCCCTTCCTCTTGTTTCTTTCCTTGCCCCCTTGTAATCAGGGATGAAAGAGCACATGACCCGACTCTGCCAGTCTTTTCCCAGGACCCTGCAGCCAGCAAAACAAAATCAGATGTTAAGCTGATGAA